CCTGAGTAGCTGGGACTACAGGCGCACAACACCACGCCCAGATAATCTTTGGTATTTTTTTCAGTAGAGATGAGGTTTCCCCGTTTAAGCCAGGATGGTCTTGATCTCCTGACCTCATGATCCTCCTGCCTCAGCCTCCCAAAGTGCTGGGATTACAGGCATGAGCCACTGTGTCCAGCCCAATTTGAGAAATTTTTAGCTTTAGGAACTCTTTGTGGTAACAGAAAAGGCTACCTTTGTTTCTAATACTCAGATGTTCTTTCCTAATCCTGGATATCATTGCTTGTTTCTGGACGATGCATAGGTTATTATTCAACTTATTTCTCATAGGAGATGAGAAGCTGAGTTCAGATGGTTTGCAGGATACATAGTTTGGGACAGCTTGAACTTTTGTTCATTTCAAAGGAAGAGGAATTGTGCAGGCCAGCTGATGGTGGTGTGGCCTATCCCTGGGGAAATGAAGGTTGCTTTTCTTTTTGTTGTTCTGGTGCCTCTGTGCCAAAAGATGAGATTAGATCCTAAGTGTGGGACTGGGTTTCCCAGTGAATGCAATAAACATTGCTATTGTCAATCATTCTGGAATACGCAAATACTGAGGCAGGGCTGGGTTCAAGGGCATTCCCACTGGAATCAGGTTATCTGGTCCCTGCAAGATGGGGACAGCTCTAGGGGTGGGCAGAGAAGTGCTCAAAGAGGACCCTCATGCAGACCTCAAAAGTGGTGACACTTTTAGGTTCTCATTTTATAACGTACTTCTCTTATCACAAAACAAAATCTTAACAAACCTTCAACAAAGTCTTAACAAAACCTATTATGTTTTTTTTGAGACAGAGTTTCACTCTTGTTGCACAGGCGGGAGTGCGATGGCACTATCTCGGCTCACCACAACCTCTGCCTCCTGGGTTCAAGTGATTCTCCTGCCTCAGCTTCCAAAGTAGCTGGGATTACAGTCATGCGCCACCATGCCTGGCTAATTTTGTATTTTTAGTAGAGACGGGGTTTCTTCATGTTGGTCAGGCTGGTATTAAACTCCTGACCACAGGCGATCTGCTTGCTTCAGCCTCCCAAAGTATTGGGATTATAGGCATGAGCCACCGCACCTGGCCACAAAGCCTATTCTGACCTCGGCTATCTCTATATGGAATTGAAGATTCAGCCATTGTCCAAATTGGGCAAAATAGCACAGGGGAAAATAATAGCAGTAGATCTTCAGACAAATGGATATAACTGTGAAAGGGAAAGCAATAGTTTGGATTCCCATGATGGACTCTAATAACCAGTGAATATCAGAATTAGTTTTTGGAGTGTTTCTTGAGGTTTCTCAGAAATTCTGGGAGATACAAGATACAAGCCTGGTAAAAGACAGTACTTTCTGCAATTAAGATAAATGTCATATCAAAGTGCTGGGATTACAGGTGCAAGTTGGGCACGGTGGCTCACGCCCGTAATCCCAGCACTTTGGGAGGCCAAGGTGGGCAGATATTGAGGTTAAGAGATTGAGACCATCAACAACATAGTGAAACCCTGTCTCTGCTAAAAATACAAAAATTAGCTGGGCATGGTGCTGCCCACCTGTAGTCCCAGCTATTCAGGAGGCTGAGGCAGGAGAACCACTTGAACCCAGGTAGCAGAGGTTGCTGTGAGCCAAGATCACACCACTGCACTCCAGCCTGGGTGACAGAGCGGGACTCTGGAGCTGAGACTACAGTGACTTGAGGATTAAAGCTATGTATGAAATTTGGAATTTGTATTACAAATATATTCTTTCTAATCCTCACAACTCCCCTGCAAGATGATTTTATTATAGCAGAAAAGCGAGGCTAAGTGCAATGCCTAACCCAAGGCTACAGGGCAAGCAAGAGGCAGAGCGGGCTGAGGTCCAAGTTCGTCTGTGTCAGACCCCCAGGCTCATTCTGTTATGTCATAATGACTGCCTGCTTGAATACAACTTATTTGCGTGCTTCCTTTCAAGACTTTCAAAAAAAGAAGCTAGGGTCATTGCCCTCTACTCTACAGCCGGACTAGGAGAATGACCCAAGGGACAGTGGAAAATGGCAGCTACAAGAAGGAAAAGAACCTTTCGTCTTAGCAGAAACTGAGGCTTCCTGTGGTATCCTTTACCTTCTTGCTACCTTATCCACACATTTATCAACATCTATAGCCATTTTCATCTCTTTTTCCCTCAGATAAAGTTTGTTTTTCCGGGCCAGGTGTGGTGGCTCATGCCTGTAATCCCAGCACTTTGGGAGGCTGAGGCGGGCAAATCACCTGAGGTCAGGAGTTTGAGACCAGCCTGACAAACGTGGTGAAACATCGTCCCTACTAAAAGTACAAAAGTAGCTGGGCATGGTGGCATGCGCTTGTAATCACAGCTACTCAGGAAACTGAGGCAGGAGAATCGCTTGAACCTGTGAGATGGAATTGCAGTAAGCCGATATTGTGCCATTGCACTGCAGCCTGGGCAAGAGCAAAGCTTTCAAAAAAAAAAAAAAGGAAAGTTTCCTTTTCCCATTTGAAGCCAAACTTCTACCTAAGCTTCTAATTGGCCCCCTCCTCCCTCTTCTCTCAGACTCTGTTCCATCTGCATACCCTCTTTCTTATACTTTAAATCTCTTCCCTTGCTGGTTCTCATTGCTATACCCATAATACGCTCTCATCTTTCCCATCTTAATCCATCACTTTAAACAAAAATTTTCCTCTAACTATGGAACAATTAACTTGTTCCTATTCACACTTCTCAAAAATGCTGATTATACTTAGTTAGCTCTACTTCCTCCCATCCCAATAATTTCTAATTTTATTCTGAACTAGCTTCTTCCTGTTTCATTACCTTCATTAATGTCACCCTAACATTCTAACGAATGCTTTGAAACTCTTTTTAAAGTCTCATATACATATAGAAAAGTGCCTAAGTGTTCAGCGCCAAGAAAGATCACATAGCAAATACATCTATGTATCTGCCACCTGGTTAAGTAACAGGACGTTACCAGCACCCTAGAAAGAGACCCTATGGTATTTCCTAATCATTATTTCCTTCTTCCTCCCTAAAGGTAACACCATCCTGACTTCTCATACCATAGATTAATTTCACCTATTACAAGTGTTATATAAATAGACTCTTACATAATGTACTCTTTGTGTCTGGCTTCCTTTTCTCAACATTACATTTGTGCAATGTAGCCATGTTATTGCATGCGGCAGTGGTTTATTTATTTTTACTGCTATGTAGTACTTCATTATGTGAATATACTGCGATTCACCCACTTTACTATAAATAGACATTTGAGGTTATTTCCAGTGTGAGTCTATTTCAAATAAGGTTTCCTTGAACATCTTGTACTTATCTTTTTGGTGCACGTGTACACAGCTTTCTTCATCTGCTTTTAGAGAAAGGAAGTTAGTTTGGTTAGGAACACTACAAAATACATTGGGGAAGTTAAGGCACAATAATATGCAACCAAATGAACAGGTGTATCATGAGCAGCGACTGTTCTTACAGAGAGATGTGTAAGACAAGGGTCCAGCCCAGAAAAGGTACTTGGGGAAGGGATATGTCCTTGCGTGCAGGAATACAGAAAGAATAGGGAACAGAAACAGACTGTAATTAAGTGCAAAATTGCATACCGCCAGAGTAAAGTCAGCTTTTAGAACCTCTGGGCTAAGACTAGACAGTTTAATACTAGGGCTGGATTCCCAATTCTGGCTCACCCATGGTGACTGGAGAGTCACCTGGAGGCCATGCCTGGGAAGAGAAAAGAGGGCTGTAGGTCTGGGAGTCAGACCCACAGATCTCAGACATATTTCTGCCAGAGTCCCTTCTTCCCTCTGCCTGCACTCCTGAAAGGACCTTAAAACATTGTGAATAAGGCAACCCCAGATGGACTCTACACTTCCCAGCCCTGCAGATAATGTCCTGGGAGACAGCGGGGAACTAGGGCAGATCTCCCAGGAGGAAGTGAGCTTAACAGACCCACAATGTCATGGCTGATACCTGAAGTTTAAAGCCTAGACATATTTGGAAGTTAATATGATGTGGAAAGGGAGAAGGAGCAGAAAGGCTGCATTGAAACTCGGGATTAGAATGGGAGAGGGACAGCTGCAACAATTACAACAATAATAGTCCCTTAAATAACAACTTACAAAAAATTTTCTATTCCCGAACTTTCACATTTCTGTGAATGGCAGGGTTACCCCCATTTTGCTGGTCTGCCCAAGGACAAGTCTGAATGGAAGGCAGGGTCAGGTCCATAATCCACATCTCCAGTTCCTCCTCAGGAACCCGGCGAGTGAGAGCCTAAAAAGGACAAGGGACCTGGATATGGTCCAGACGCTAAAGCAGTTGCAGGAGGAGGTGTGGAGGGGTTGGAAAGGTGTGAGGACTGAAAACTCCATCCTTTTGGGATTAGTTCGGAGCCACCTGGAAGATGGTGACTTCAGCCAGGACACGCGCGTTTGCGGGCTGCGGAGGGTTGGGTAAGTCAAGCCTCCCCAGGAGCCCCACGGAGGGTGGAAACGAGGTGGCGCCGCCCCGTCCCGGACGCGCGTCGAGCGCCCTCTGCCACCCCACGTCGCCCTGCCCAGGGCGAGGGCAGAGCGGGCCCGCCCAGGTGCGCCCGGAGGTTGGGCCGGAGCCCGGAAGGTGCGCCGCGCCGCCCGAACCTGTTCCCTCGGCCTCCCCCCGCGTGAAAGTGAAAGTGTCGGACCCGCGAAGGTCAAGGATAGGGGGGCGGGGCCAGCGCGGAGCTGGGAGCGGGCACCGGGCACTCCAGGGGCCATGGATGGGCTCGGCCGCCGCCTTCGAGCCAGCCTGAGACTGAAGCGCGGCTCCGGGGGTTAGTGCCGGCCGGGGAGAGCGCGCGGGGACGGCGTGGGCACCGCGGAGCCGGGGCTAGGGCTGGCGGCGGGGGCCCGGGGGAGGGCAGCACCGGGCGTCGAGATCCGGGAGCGGTTGGAGGGGGACTCAGGAAGCTGCGCGGGGGCAGGTGAGCGGCAGAGAGCGCGGGAAGAAGGGAGAGGGCCAGGTGGGGGCGGGGGCGGGAGACGGCGGCCTGGCCAGGCCTGCAGGGGCGAGGGGGAGGCGGCGGGACACAGGAAACCGTTGTGGGGCCCCGGGGCCACGTGTCCTTCCATCCAGGAAGCTTGTGGTGCAACCGCAGTGTGCCTGAAAGCGCCCCGGTAGTGGTGCCCTCCCGGAGGCACTGCCTCAGCTCCCGGCGTGCCCGCCGCCCCGCCCCACCTCGCTGCCCTGGTACTCCGCCGTGGCCTTTGCCCAGTTCCTCCGAGTCCGCGCCCCTGTCCCTGTCCCTCATAGCCACCGGCCACTAACACAGGTCTCCCCAGTGACGTTACCACCCCCATCCCCCGCGGCCAGGTGCCCCTCCGAGTGTGGCCTCCAGCGGAGCTGCGGTGGAACTTGCATAGCTGCTGCTTTCCAGCGTGTAGCTCAGACAGGGCACCCCCTTCCTTTCCCCTCAGCCCCCGCAACAGTGAAATGGATGTCATTACCCCGTCGAGGATTGTGGGGATTAAATTAGAAGTCAACTAAAGAAGCAGCTTCTTTTCTTTCTTAGCAGAGCCCTGGGGTTTGGAAGGAGGGCAGTTAGAAATTCATTCATTTATTCAGCAAATATTTGTGTGGTTTGCCACCAGCCTGTCCTATGGCTAAGCAGCTACGACCATTAGATACTTTGCTCAGAGGTCCCACCGTCTGAGGAGCAAAGAGTGGATGAGAAAGTGAGCAGGGGGCATTCCCAGACCACCTCCCCCTTCCAACATTGGCATGCCAGAAGGCCACGTGAGCCCCTCTCTTAGTCCCTTGGTGGGGACCCCAGGGAGTGAGGTCAGCCCTCCCTTCTTTGGACTGCAGTGACCTCTAAGTTTTGAGTAATCTCCTCTTAGTCCTGTTCAAATTCCTCCTGGCACACCCTGCCCCTTCTCCATTTGCAGTGTCCTCTCTAGACACAGATCTCCAATATCTGGCCATTCCATCTAGGAGAGGTCAGAGACCACAGGTTGGGACAGAGGGCTGGGACCATGCAGTGGCAGGAGCAGAAGGCAGGATGAGGCTGACATTGTCTCTTCTCTGGAGAGCACTGGCCTGGTCTGTCCTGGTCTTCCGAGATCCTGGGACATCTGTGTGAATGGGAGGGGTCTGCCCCCTGCAGCCCAGAGGAGACATTCCAGTTGTTCCCACCCACCCCTACCCCAACATGAGGTTGATGATTGTGCCTGAAGGAGCTTCCTGATACTGAGGAAGCCTGAAGAACTGAAGCCTAACACTTGTCGGGCCAGGAGTTTTTGCCCTCTTCATCTTCCATACCATCCTCCATCTGCCTGGGGATTCTCCCCTTCCTCTGACTTTCTGGCCCTAGGAGTTGTATATTAGGAGGGAGGGTGTGTGTGTGTGTGTGTGTGTGTGTGTGTGTGTGTTTGTGTGTAATTACCCTGGTGACAAGGAGTGATGTGGTAATGGTCCTGGGTTGAGAGCAGCTGAGCTGGAAGGGATGGACCAGCTTTCCAGATCAAGGTTCCAGCAAATATTCTGGAGGTCCCCTCACCTATATTCTAGTCAGATCTGGGACTTCAGTGGTGTCTGTGGGAGAGGCTTTCTGGTGGAGGAACAAGTGTGACAAGATTCCTGATTTCGCTAGAAAGGGTGGCTCCCTCCTCAACTAAAACTCAGGATAATAATTCCTTTCTAGGGCACTGGAGATTAAATGGGATGCCTTAGATGAAACCTAGGAGTTTGATGTGTTAGTTTTCTCTTATGCTTTTCTCTCCTGTTGATAACCCCTTTTGAAAGGGGAGAAAACTGTTTTGCTGCATTTCTTAGGCCTTATCCCCCAACTCGAATTACTTTCTTTTGTCAATGATTTCTTAATTTTGCTATTTTCTTGGCTCTTGCAATAAAGCAGAAGAAAATGAACTGAAAATGCAGCCCAAAGGATTTAGGGAAAGGCACAGTTTCCTTAGAATCTGCAATAATCAGTGATAAGATTCTGTTTCTCACTGTCCTTTGAAAACCTCTGTGAAACAGCCTAAGAGATGCAGCCAGAAGGCAGGAGCGTGGATAGGGAGCTTTCCTAATTCCCACCCCTACAAATCCTGCCAATTTTAATAGCTTTTGAATTACTTTATGCCTTGGTTTCCCCATCTGTATCAGGAAGACGCTTGTTTCTCAGAAGGGTGGTAAGGATTGTGCAACAAGTCTGTGCAGCCTGCAGGTAAGGTGTGGTGCCAGCTCCAAGTGTCCTGGTTCACTCTTCTCACCCATTAAAGCACTTGAACACCCTTATTTACTGTAAATGAGCTTGGCCACGAGTCCTGGCTTTTACTAGTCCCACAGAAGCCGGGTCTAGAACTCTTAGGAGCAAAGCATCTGTTTACCCTGTCCCAGCACCCTATTCTCTTCCAGAGGGCTTCTAATCTCTTCTCCTTTTTTTTTTTTTCCCCCAGGCTGGAGTGAAGTGGCACGACCTTGGCTCACTGCAGCCTCCATCCCCCGGGTTCAAGCCATTCTCCTGCCTCAGCCTCCCAAGTAGCTGGGATTACAGGCACCTGCTACCACGCCTGGCTAATTTTTTGTATTTTTAGTAGAGATGGGGTTTCACCATTTTAGCCAGGCTGGTCTCGAACTCTCGACCTCAGGTTATCCACCTGCCTCGGCCTCCCAAAGTGCTAGGATTATAGTCATGAGCCACCGTGCCCGGCACCCGGCCTGGCTGCTTATTCTAAAAGTAGTGGCCCCAGAGGGTCCTTTTGCCTCCTGCTTTCCCTTTAAGGCAGCTTCCTGGCAAAAGTCTTTCCCTCCTTCTCCATGCATTTACTAATTCAGGGGTTTCTATGAGAATCTGAGGTGATTTTTTGCTATTCTTTCTCTCTTCTCTAGTCTCCAGACACAGCAGTGGACTAGCAGCTCTGTCTGTAGCTTGGGCAGAACAGCTGACCTGGCCTGACTGGGAGGAAGGGTGAGCAGAAATAGGGGTTGGGTGGAGATCACCCGGATGCTTTCCACTGCCACAGAATCACCCTCAGGCTGCTGGTACAATCAGTCTCCTACCTTAGGCTGGGGACAGTCTCCTCAGTCAGTGCTTCCTATTTGGGAAGAGGGACACTGCTGGAGCCCTGGAACAAATGGCAGTGACAGAACTCTCTGCCTTAGCCCACAGGATGTATTGCAGGGGGTGAAATGTACCAGTGTAGCCATTTCCAAAATATCAAGAACTCAGCTTGGAGATGGACTTTACTCTCTCCTGCACCATCAGAAAAGGAGGCTCTCGGGTATTGATTTCCAGAACTCCTTCTTTTGTTGGAGGAGTTAATGTATTTGGTTAATTATTAGGCGAAGTCTATTTATCTTAATCAGGGGAGGACAATGGCATCCTGGCTGCAGAGAGTGTTTGGCCATGTGCTCTAGGTCGGGAAGTCCTGGAAGTTCTAGGGTTCAGCAGGCGGCCTTGCTGGGGTTTTCGACTTCCATTGATCAAGTTGAGAAGTGAAAGGTCAGCAATCCAAGTGATGGGGATATAGGCTCTCTATCCTGAGACCAGCCAGTTTCCAGGGCCCATAGTCTGATGCTATCAAGCACTATCCAGTGTTCTGAGGTTGTAAATAAACTCTGTGCACAATCTGCAGCCCAGATTCAAAACTCTTAGCCCAGAACTAGTCAGGCCTTTCTGACTACTTTCAGGCAGAGGTGTTTGCTCATGACCTTTTCTCTCACCACACCCTGGGGCCCATGGGAGGAGCTGAGATCTGCGCTGCAGTGCCAGGATGCTGACTCTCTTGGTGCTGGCTTCTGCTGCCTTCCTGGGTTCTGTCACATCCTTCTTGCTCAATCACTGGGCGCACAGGATGGAAACTGCTCTCCCCTGTCTGGAAAACAGCGCATGGCTTAGCTTCACAGAGTTGTGGCTGGAGACCGAAGCAGCAGCCCCTTTCTCAGACCTTCTGTCACCAGTGTTTCTGTGTTAGGGGAGAGGGGAGTCTGCTCTGCCCTGAAGGTCCAGCGATGGAAGGACAAGTGGTAGGCCGGGCGTTCAGGCTCCTCCGACGTCGACTGCTCCAGCCCAGAGCAGGTCAGGACTGAACTGCCCACTTCCTTGTTTTTGAGGTGACCCTCATAGGCGGACGGTTTCTTCTTTGAAATGTTCCTTCCTCCTCTTCCTTTATATCTTGGCCTCCATATGGTTCCCCATGTGACTGGGCCAGGAGGCTTCCTCTGATGGTTTTTAAGACTGGTCATGCCCTCTGTGGGGCTAATGTGGTCACAGTCACATGTCCCTTGGGCCTGTTCTTATTCACCTAGTATGAGCTAAACTCTCAAGGCATATTGTGCCAGGACTGCCAGGGGCATCCAATAGCCTAGGCAGTCTCTGTGGTACCCTGGGGCCTTAGCCTTCTTGTGGCCTCTCTAGCATATTTCCGTGGCTTCTGCATTGGTGGTTTCTTTCCAGCTCTTGGCTTCCCATGGTTTCAAGTCTCCCAGAGCAGGTGTGGAAACTGCCCATTTGGCCCTGATCCTGAGTGTCTGGTTGTGCTGGCCAGTGTCCAGGTATCTCAGCACTGGCAGGGCGGCCTTGAGGTGCGGAGGGCACTCAGATTCTCACAGACTCCACTCCAGGAATGGATCCGTGATATACTAACTGGGCTCTGGTGTCTCGGTTTCAGGACCACCCCAGGACAATTCGAGGGAAGCTTTAAAGGAACCAGAAAGGGCCCAGGAGCACCCTCTGCCCAACTTTGCTGGGGGGCAGCACTTCTTTGAATACCTTCTTGTGGTTTCTCTAAAAAAAAAACGTTCAGAGGATGATTACGAGCCTATAATCACCTACCAATTTCCTAAGGTAAGGACTGAGGGAGGGGCAGGGGTAGCCAGAGGACTGGGAGCTTTAGAAGGTGGTGGGCATGGGCCTTCTACCTCCTTCTCTTCACCCTACCGGGGCTTGGGCCTAGAGCCTCCCTGAGCTCTGAGCTCGCTGCTCTCCATTTCCTTCTTACTGAGCTCGCTGCTCTCCATTTCCTTCTTAGCACAGCCCCAGTTCTGTTATCACTCGCAGAATTTAGGTCTAATTTCTTTGTGAGGGACTGACCTAAGCTTCCTAGCAGGGAAACTAGGAAAGATAGTTTGCCTTTTAGGGGACCTCATAGGTCTTCCAAATCCCATTTTCAGTCACCCTTCTCTGTAGATAGGCTTACTTTCTGCCAGACCTTCTAGAAGGAGTCCCCTCTCTGGGATGTGTGGGAAGGAGAGAGTGGGGCAGGCATGTAACTGGTGGGCAGGCATGTAACTGGTGGGCAGGCACAGCCCTCAGCCTGAGCCCAAGCATCAGACTCCTTGTCTGATCCTACACCAGGTAAAGGGGTGGGAATCCTCATTAACCCTTCTCATTAGCAGGTGTGCCACTGAGCTGGCCGCTTCTCTTCTCTGATGTGGTACCTCTCTGATGTTGTCCTCTCAGGGGCCATTTCAGGGCTTTTCTATATTCAACATGGCCCTGTCCCCTTCTTATGTAGATCCTCAAGATACTGAGGTTGAACTCAAGCTTATGTCGAGTTGACCCAGGAGGGGCTGTTTCAGCTTTGGAGTTGTTCCAACCAGACTCAGAATGTAAACTGCAGAGTGTTGGGCAAATGCACTCTTCATCCCTATGCTAGTGGAGAAGCTTATCCCCAGACTGCTTTAGAGCCTCAAAGGAAGCCCGCCACCTCTCAAGCCCTCTCCTCCTTACCTCTGCCCCCAGCTTCATATCCACTTGTCTTTTCCTTTTCCTAACAGCGGGAGAACCTGCTTCGGGGTCAGCAGGAAGAGGAGGAGCGGCTGCTCAAAGCTATCCCCTTGTTCTGCTTCCCAGATGGTAATGAGTGGGCATCACTCACTGAGTATCCCAGGTAATTACTCAGCCCTGGGCAAGGGTATTGGATTTGGGGAGGAGGAACAAGTGTGAGTTCTGTGGCTCCTGTAGCCTCCCTCACTGCTGTCATTTGTTGATTTTTCAGTCTGGGAGTGGAATTGATTCGTTTGTAAACATCTGGCCCAGGGTCCCTCAAGTCCAGGGATATTAGCTATCAGTTTGATCAGGCCCTTCTGCCCAGAGAGCCAGAATCTCTCACCTGCTGCTGCTTTTGACTCTGCTGCTGGTCCACGCCGGGCTTAGCAGAAGCCGGTTGGCCTCTAAGAAGGCGGTAGCGAAGGCCCTTCCAGCATCAGCCCTGGAATTCGGCTGCTGGAGTTTTGACATCTCCATTTATGAGTTGAGTGACCTTGAATTAGGAATAGCCGCTCAGAGCCTCAGTTCCCTCATCTTTAAAGCGGGAATAATAACTGAAGCTACCTCAAAGAGTTGTTTTGAAAATCAGACGAGATCATGTGTCTAGAGCTTGATTAACTTGACTCCTATGGGTAATCAGCTCCCCTAATGCTGACCACTTTCCTGTTTCAGAATCTGGTGAGCAATGCAAATCAAGGCTTGTCTGCTCTTTCTTAGGGAGACCTTCTCCTTCGTTCTGACCAATGTGGATGGGAGCAGAAAGATTGGATACTGCAGGCGCCTATTGGTCTGTGCAGCCTAGAACTGCCCCTTCCTTTCTGAAGCCTGCTCAGCTCCACAGCTGGGCTTGCTCAAGCAGAGCTGCAGAAGTCCAGTCTTGTTGGCAGCACTGGTTGTAGAGAGAGCACAGCCCAGGACCTGCTGCCATGCTAGTGCTCCCTCTGCAGCTCCACAAGCACGAGGACCTGATGCCCCTTCTCCCCCTGCTGGTTAGGCTCTGGTCTGTGTTCCTCCTGGCTTTCAGTAACTCTCTTTGTGAGAGGTTCCAACTGACTCCTCTCTCTCCCTGCTCTATCCAGGCCTGCTTACCTTGGCCCCTGGAGTCTCCCAGAGCAGAGGCTGGGATTTGGACAATTAGTTTCAAATCTTAGGTCTCAGGAGGATTCCCCAAGTCGCTTTTACAGTGCCTTCCTCCTTAGCTGTTTCTTCATCTCTAAGGCACACTTGCTCCCTCTCTCTGCTGACCCCAAATTGTGTTGGCACTGAAGGCAGCAGCATTTCCCCACCAACCCACCCAGTACCCTCAAGGATTTCTTCTTTTGACCTTGGTGGCTACTCTGACCTCCATGCTGCACCCACCATTCACCATAAATACCCCCTCCCAGCCCTCAGCCTTGTACTCCTTCAGACCCAGTTAGGAGAAGCCCTTGGGGAGGCTGTGGCACTGAAGGAGCCTCTCTGTCCCTTCCCAGCCTGCCGGACCTGGCCCTCGCCTACCCCAAGTGTACTGCATCATCAGCTGCATTGGCTGCTTCGGCTTGTTCTCCAAGGTAGGGGTGGAACAGGATTCCACAGGGCCTGTTAGTCCTGTCCATCTTCCGGGCTCTCTGACTGCCAGTCCTGCCTGCGCAACCTAAGCCCTTAGTGGAGCTCTTCTCCCATAGCCAGAGTCAGCGTTAAAGCACACTTGGGGAAACTGAGGCAAAGGGTCATGCGCTTAAGAGAAAAGTGGAAATTGAATCTAGCGGACTGGATTCCTTGCAGAGATAGCCACTGTTCCCACTCTAGCCAAGTAAGAAAGTCGCTGAAGTAGGACAAGAGGAAGAAACTCAAACGCCTTCTACCCTGAGGTTCAATTTCCTCATCTGTCAAATGGATGTAATAATCTTTCACCTTCCTATCTTGCTGGTTGATGTGAGGCTTAAGTGAGGTGATATATGAGAAGACTCTTTATAAAAGGCAGAGCACTGAACAAATATGAGGTAGTTATAAGACCCATTCTGACTCCTTCAAGGGTAGGAGAACAGTTGAGGTCCCCAGGACTTCTTCTGCTGGAGCTAATTTGAGTGCCAGTGCATCTGAGCCAGGATTTAAGCAGAATCCATGGGGGCCATGCCATCTATTGGTGGCCAAAAAGGACTTCATTATGCTCTGCTCCCAGTGGGACCTTTGGAGGAGGCGGGGAGGGAACTCTGTCAGTTTTGCTGGGGCAGAGCATTCCTTTGTGCAGTGTTTCTAGGGATGGAGGCAGTCTCTGACCCTGGGAATCTACAGCGGGAGTTGGAGGACAGAGTGGTACCAAGAGGCTTAGGCATCTTGGCTGCTGCTCCAACCAGCATGTGTGGACATGGTACCATCATGGGTGATGACTTTACTCTGGGGTGACTTCCCAGGGAGATACTTGTATGTTGGTGTTAGAAGAGGGGAAGACTACGGATTGGTAGAGAGAGAATTAAAAGAAAGAAGCTGGATAAAAGCAGTCTCGTGTGGGAGATAAACCACAGATTATTTAGCATGAGCCCAGTCTCTGCCAGGGAGGGAGAGGACCAGTTTTTGGAGGGCCCTAAAAGATACATGAGGATCAGCTGAACCAGTGTGAGAACATTATGATGCTTAGGGGCACATAGAGTCTTGGCCACCTGCCCAGCAGTGTCCCTTTGAGCCATGCCTCCCCTGGTTCTTTTCCCTGCAGATCCTGGATGAAGTGGAGAAGAGACATCAGATCTCCATGGCTGTCATCTACCCGTTCATGCAGGGCCTCCGAGAGGCAGCTTTCCCTGCTCCTGGGAAGACTGTCACTCTCAAGAGCTTCATCCCCGACTCAGGCACTGAGGTGAGCAACATGGGTGAGACCTCTAACTGGAGAGGATAGGCATCTGTGGCACCTCTCACCACTGTTGTACCATTAACCAGGTTAGCATACAGAGAAACTGAGCCAGACAGGGACTGGGACTGGTTAGAATGGACAAAGCTGAAATCCAACGTGAATTTTCTGATTCTAACTTGATACCCACAAGCACTTAGTCATTGCTCAAGCCACCAAGACTTTTATTTATAATAAATTAACCATGTAAGTGAAGGCCTCTGGCGCTATAAAGGACATTTTCCCTCGCCACTAGACTGCTACTTGCCCCCACCCCCACACCATTCCTCTTTGTTTGTCCTGTCTCCACCTTACACCCGCCATCTGCCCATTTCTTATCATCCGTCCCCACTTCCGAGTATCCACCCACGTACAGGGAAATGCTGCTGTTTTAGGGCACCAAACACACCGAGGCAGCAGGTAGAACACTGTTCTAAGAATTCCAGTCCTGACTACTCCCGGAACTCTGAAGAATCTGTGTACACCTTTGAACCTTGGCTTCCCCACAGGAAAACAAGGGGAGAGGCTAGAAGTTTTCACTTTCTCAAAAAAAAAAAAAAAAAAAAAGTACTGAATGCTTGCTGTGTGCCAAGCTATACTATTTTTCTGGGAATACAATGGTGACCAAAATGAGTGTGGACTCTGACCTTTTGGGACTATAAGTCCAGTGGAGAAGGTAGATGTTAAATAAACCCACCAGTGCATATTGAATTAAAAATTATGTAACTGTTGAAAGAAAAATCAGGGTGCTACATGAGAAGAAGAGAGGAAGCATCACATGGCCAAGACGGGCCTTCTGGGACCTGAAAGAGGATAAGAATGAAGGGAGCAGAGCAGTGCAGGAGGAGGGCCCACACTGTGAAGGCTGCAGGCAGGAAAGAAGGGATTGCTCAAGGAACAGAAGCCCATGTGGTGAAGTGCAGTGAGAGGAGCGTGTGCTCGGGGAGGCAAGCGAGGGAGGGTACCGGACCTTGTGGGCCACACTCGAGATAACATCAGAGCTGTCCTCCAGCCCATTAGCAGGGGAAAGAGAGACAGGGTCATATTCACTCCTTGGAGGAGAAGGAATAGAGGCTGGTAGAGGCCCAGCACTCTGGGGTCTGTGTGATCTTGCAGTGTAGTGACACCTTCTCTCTCTCTGCTTTCCCCACAGTTCATTTCACTGACACGGCCCCTGGACTCCCATCTGGAACATGTGGATTTTAGTTCTCTATTGCACTGTCTCAGTTTTGAGCAGATACTTCAGATCTTCGCCTCTGCTGTGCTGGAGAGAAAAATCATCTTCCTGGCTGAAGGTCTCAGGTGGGCCGAGCCCCCGAATTGCTCACCTGAACTGCCCAGTATCCCTGGGTTCAAGGGAACAGATGAGGTTCTCCAAGGAAAAACTGGGCTATAGGGCCCATGTGCTCACCCCCGTGTGTCCAGGTCCTTGTACTTTAAACCAAGAGAAACAGCTGTTTTGAACCACCCCCACTGCCTCTGCCTCCAAGCAGGACTGCTGCCTGGACCTGAGGAATGTTCCTGACTTAGCTGGGAGAAGGACAGGAAGTTTTCCTGGGACAGCCCAGATGGGACCAGTTAGGGTGAATGCAGACATGGTTTTGCCCTTGCAAGGCTGAGGGAGGGTGGAGAACAGGGGAGGAGGTAGATACTCATTTAACAAACATCGTGTGTCACCTGTTTGCCAGATGCCAAGCATTGGGAAGATACAAACAAGACATGGTCCTTCACCTGAAGGGGATGCAGAATTATATAGTGGTTGAAAGCATAGGGGTTGAGATCAGCGGAATTAGGAGGTTTAAATCCAGTTCTTCTACTTTTAGCTATGAGGTTCCCCTTAGGTTAGTTTGTTAACTTCTTGAAAATGGAAATAATGATTGTGATGACCTCATCAGGTTGTGCAGAGGATTAAATGAAAACATGCACATTAGGTACCTAACACCCTGCCGAGCACATGTGGCTTAGTGCCAGCTGCTACCCTTCAGTTCAGCTGAGTATATCCCAGTGTTAATGGAAGCAGGGTACTGTTATATCAGGGTCTCTCCCTCTTAGGGGCTTCAAATCTGAGAAGGACATGGGAAGATGTAATAGAATGGAGAATGAAAAAAGTCATAAAATAGTAGGGGTAGGGGTGGACTTTCTATTCATATCTGGGGAGGGAGAAAACCAATGATTTTAGGTTGACAACCCTGCTTTTATCTTTTCTGGAAGAAGAAAAGGCTGTTAGGGAGTCAGTAGAAATCACAGGCTCAGCTGAATGTCATGGGTTCCAGAGCGGAAACTTGGGCAAGCAATGGGGTCTCTGTGTTGAAGACTCTGTAAAAATGGGTGATGACCAAAAAGGAACTAGTTGTAGGTAGTCCTGGAAGGGAGTGGCATCATCTTTGGCTTTGGAAAGAGCTCTTTCACTCCCAGCCCTGAATGGCAACCAGAAGTGCCTGTGACTAGAGCTGGGATTCTGCCTTTCCTCCTTAAATCAGTGTTTGGGAAGTGGACCTTGGCAGGATTTACCTCTCAGACGTTTACTTTCTTTAGGGAAATCCTACCACTCCCTACTTCCTTCCCACACTGAGTTTTTCAGCTCTCCGAAGCTCAGATAGGGAGGGGACTTCCAGTCAGTCTAGGCCTTGGCTGGCCTCTCAGAGACTCAAGTTTGCTAATTCAGGAAGTGCTAGCTTGAAACCAAGAACTGAAACAAGGATTCCCGCATCTGTGCTTTTATTGGCCTTGACTTTGAAGCAACTTGGCTGCAGTAAAGAACAGCCATGAAAGCCAGTGGAGAAAAGAGCAGACAGAGTGGGGTTGTGTGTGTGTGTGGTGGCATGAGGAGTAGGGCCAAGCTGTGACTGGGGCAGGCGTGAAGAGGGATGTTTTACTGCTAGGTCTTGAGGAGCCATCTTTGTGGGACTTTCCATGCAGGAATTGCTGGGCAGAGGTTCCTAGAACCTGGGAATTTCCCAAGTTACTCAGGCAGCAACCTGGTAATCTCTAATAACCTTGAGTGCCCAGAGGAGGCTGTGTAGGGCAAAGGCTGGGGATGAGGGTGGATAGCCATAGGGAGGTAAAAAGGCTTTCCTCTCTGCTGGGCCCCCAGCGCTTACATGTTTGTCTCTTAACTACACTGAATTCCTTAAAAGCAGGGTCAGTGTCTTACTCTTCCAGGTATCCTCATCCTAGGGGCTCAATCAATTATCTGCTTGAATGAAAGCAACTCTTCTTCTCTCTCCTCTTTGGAGTCACTATTATTTTTGGCCAATAGTAAGTTGAGAAGACTAACTGGGAAAAGAAGGATCGAATCAAGGCCCCCTCTTAATAGTGGAGCCTCAGCCTCTCTAGTTTCTGTCCCTCCCTTCCAGCAATGTACGTTCAAGCTCTGTGTCCAGCATGGTCCCCAGACTTGCCTTTCTGCCACGGGCGTGGGCAGCACTGCTGTAGTTGCTGGTGGTGTTGGGTGATGAGGGGTGTGTAGCATGGAGGTGCAGGCCCTGACTCTCGTCCTCTGTGCTCTGTCCTAGCACCTTGTCTCAGTGCATCCATGCTGCCGCTGCACTGCTCTACCCCTTCAGCTGGGCACACACCTACATCCCTGTTGTCCCTGAGAGCCTTCTGGCCACCGTCTGCTGCCCCACCCCCTTCATGGTTGGAGTACAAATGCGCTTCCAGCAGGAGGTCATGGACAGTCCTATGGAAGAGGTATGATGTGGCACGAAGAGGGCACGATTTGGAGCCAGGCAGACTGGGATTCAGATCCCAGCTTTGCTGCTTATAGCTGTGTGATTAGGGGCAAGTTACCTTACCTCTTTAAGCCTGAGATTTCTCATCTTAAAATGGTGACAACAGTGTTCAGTTCTTAAGGATTCTGGGGAAACCGCCTGTGTAGGGCTGTAGGGTCCGTGTGCCCACCCTCCTGTGTCTGCGTGATCTTGCAGTGTAGTGACACCTCTTTCTTTAGTTTCTGTATCCTAACCTACCACCTGACACATGTTTGATGCTCAATAAATGCAGGCTCCCTTCTGAAGGATTTCCCTTTAGACTTAAGGGGCAGTGGATAGCTTATTCAGGGGTCATCAGACTGTTCTATGCCAGCTGGCCCTATTGAGCAGTCACTGGGGGGTTCCATCTCATCCAAATAGATGACACAGCTGGTCTATACAACACACACCCCACTGGAATGTATTTGAATTCCTTGGAAGTGAGCTAACATCGCCCCCTGGCAAACTATTGGTCTTGAACATGCAGGTTTTTGCAGCAAGTCATCTTTCTGAGAAGCTCAGAGCTAAGGTTGGTTAATGAGGATATAGGTCTAAATCCTCTTTGATTTTGTTAGTTTCTTATATCTTGGCAGTGCCCCAGACACACCAGAGGACTCAGTTGTGAAAATGGACGCCAAAAGCATAAATCTATCCCCAGTGTTGGAAAAATAACTCAAAACATGTGCTTTAGAGTTGTCAGTAGGGACTCTGAAAAGAGAGCATGTTATTATATCTGAAGCCAGAAGAGGGACTTGGGAATGTCCGTCCTGGCTATAAACATTGACTCACTAGAGCCTACTAAGGGGAGAGTAGGAGTCTAAAAGTCAGCTACTGAAGAGGCATGTAGGATTTCCCCATTTATGTAAGAGATAACTGAGTTCCAGAGACTTATCCAAGGCCACACAGACAACAGTGGAACCGAGCGCAGCTAAAACCAAATCCCCTCCTATAGAAACTATTGCTGGGAAGTAGAGTAGGCTGTTTCCCTTCCTTGCTCCACTGGCCCCCTTGTCCTTCCTTAGGACTGCTGAGTACACATGCCCTTTGAACCAGCCTTAGCCTTGTGACTAACTGGGATAGAGTATTAGCCCCATGTTTAGCAGTAAACATTTAAATTTGCTAACCCCAGAAGTTATGAAACTTCCTGATTCTGCAGCTCCAGCTCCCTGGAAGCTGTGACTCCTCTCCTGATGGCCACTCAGACTCTGGCTTTTGGTAAGGGATTACTCCCCAGACAATATCCCCAAATACTGGAAAGATTTCTGGGAACAATCTTGAAAAACAAATTATTTATACACACTCTTTCCTCCCAATCCCTCAAAGGAACAGCCTTCCCTTCATGAAGGCATCTGAGCCTATGTATACAAGTGATTTCAGGCCTGGACTAGTTCAACTTTTCTCCCCTGACGACAGATAATTACAGAGCATGCTCTGTTTTTTGGCATACTTTGTCCACTCTCTCTTTCCTTGTATTTGGAAGAAGGCACAATGGAGGGATCATTCTTTCTATTGTCAAGACCAAGGGTCACAAATGCAAAAGAAAGGCCCAGCAGTCATTTAAATGACCAAGACAGGAGTTTGGTAATTACAGTAAACTGGTGAGAACACGCCCTGCCTAAAGCAGACAGGTGCTACTCAATTCCATCTGAGTGTTGCCCTTTAGAAATGTGGACCAGTCAGGTCTCCTGACTTTTCAGGAGAGGCCCCAAATCCAAGTTTTATGTGAGATAGTCCAGTTTAAATATTGGAAACCAATTCAATTATTTAAAAATACTGTGAGGATCAAAGAAACAGATCTGCTGGTTGGAATAACCCAGTGGGATGCCTATTTGTAATCTCTGGTCTAGACTGAAGGCTCCCTGGGCAGTGACAGAGCCAGTGCTAAAACTGAGGTCCCCAAGTTCCAGCCCGGTGCTTATCTCACCTGAGGACTGTAGACACATGTTCTCCTCACTTCCTTTCCTTCCCTCTTTCTGTTGATCCTGGGCTTACTTCCTTCCTTTGCTGTTTCCTGCTGGAAAGCACAAAGCTCCGAGGGAGTTTTTCTAATAGAAAATTGTACATAAGTTGTTGCAAACATGAAAAAAATAGAAGGACATTGGTCTCTGTCCTAGAGAGCAGGGAGTTGAAAGGGAAATGTAGAGAGGAATGCAGTCTCAAGAGTATCAGTCTAGGCTTGGAAAAAAAGTGGTTCTCCTACTAGCAGTGTAGTATGACCTCGGGCGGCTTCTTTGGGTCCGTTTCCTCATCCTCAAAATGGAGATGGTGTCTACCTTATAGGACTGTTGCTTGAAATCAAAGGTGTAAAGCACTTATGTGTACAATGTACTAAATGCTCCATGTAGACGCAGGTTCTGAAGTTCATGATTTTTTAAAGGAGTGACTGGCTGTGATTTCTCTATGTTGTATTCCCTGTCTACCTTAGCTGCTTCTCCTACTCCCTTCCAACAAACACCCACACCCCTTCCCCAGGAAGAGGGGAATAGTGTCAAAGCAGAATGCTAGACAGGTAATGAGAACTGAAGATATTGATTCTGTTGCTACCTGGGCTGAAAGGTACAGCCACAGGCAGAAATTGAGATGGTAAATCCTCTGGAGGTCTATGAAGAAAGGGGACCAGAGAAAGCCATTCTGTTTATTTCAGGTCCTGTTGGTCAATCTTTGTGAAGGAACCTTCTTAATGTCGGTAAGTGTCTGGGTTCAGATCCCCTGCAGGCCCATCACCAACTCTACCACTCCGGTTTCACTTATTTCAACAAACATTAAGTTCTTTGTTGAATGAGAATCTGTGCTAAAAAGACCACATCTCTCTCAAGGAGCCCATGGACATAAACACAGATGATCTCACTGTAAGACAATCAGTGATTGTGCCTTTCAAGCAAGGGATATAAATCAAATACTACCAGGATGGAGAGGATCCCTCGCTAATGTTTAGAGTCACACTGAAGGACAAGAAACAGCTTCTGTTGTTTCTGTCCTATGTGGCTGATTATTTGTGGGTGGAGTGGGGGTGTAGAATTCATGACCTCCTCATGCTTTTCTGCCAACTCCCTTCACTCCACACTTCTTTCTGTTTGACCTCTGAGCTCTGTCCTTCTAGGTTGGTGATGAAAAAGACATCCTGCCACCAAAGCTCCAGGATGACATCTTAGACTCTCTTGGTCAGGGGACCAGTGAGTTAAAGAGTAAGTCCTCGGGTCCCTCTTATTTTGGGTCTCTCCAGGGAGTGCAAGGGCATGATTCTCAATCATTCCCTTCCAGAACTAAAATGAACTCACTCAGCAGTTCTAGACCAGCTCTAGAGACCTAGAAGCTAGGGCAAATCTGAATATGGGATTGTATTCTTTTCTAAGCAATGGCAGAGAACCCATACCCAGACCTCCTACAGCTTTCCCCAGCTTTCAGCCTTTGAGAAAGCTATGCTTGGAGGTGAGTTTTGGTAATTTCATCCTTCTTCTACCCTCTGAGATGGCCTTCATGTCTCTTGCAGCTGCAGAACAAATCAACGAGCATGTTTCGGGTCCTTTTGTGCAGTTCTTTGTCAAGACTGTGGGTCATTATGCTTCCTATATCAAGCGGGAGGCAAATGGGCAAGGTCACTTCCAAGAGCGATCCTTCTGTAAGGCTCTGACCTCCAAGACCAAACGCCGGTTTGTGAAGAAGTTTGTGAAGACACAGCTCTTCTCACTTTTCATCCAGGAAGCCGAGAAGAGCAAGAATCCTCCTGCAGGTACACTGTAAGCCCAGAGAGGGTTTACCTCTAGGATAAAGAGGAGGGGGAGGAAAAAATACTTCTCTTTAGAAACCCACAAAATAGCTGTAGGTAGACTTATTAGTGGAGTTGAAATGACACCCTGAAACCTAAGAAGATGTCTAACGGGCTGCCATTTTGTGGAAGTTACTTTACTCATTAGCTGACAGGACTGAGCCCTTTCCTCTGTTTTAGTCTACAGCTAATTCCTGCTAAGTACTCTCTGTTTATGGGCTACTTTTTGGACCAAACTTTAATGGATCTCCAGAAGCTTGTGAGGGCAGAGATATCCTGTCAGGGATGGGAGTATGGGGAGCACACAGGACATTTCTGATCCTTATTCCTGAGCTCATTATGGTCTGTGCTTGACCAGATTAGATGCCTCTAACACCTGTATCTGAACCCACAGGCTATTTCCAACAGAAAATACTTGAATATGAGGAACAGAAAAAGCAGAAGAAACCAAGAGAAAAAACTGTGAAATAAGAGCTGTGGTGAACAAGAATGACTAGAGCTACAGGCCAGTTCTGGACTTCAGCCCCTGCCAGTGTGGCAGGATCAGCAAAGCTCTCAGCCCCCCAATCCATAACCTCAATCTAAGTCTTGACATCCAGGTATTGCTTAAAACTGGTGTCTGAGATTTGGATCCCTGGTATCAATTTCTTGGGACTTTGGAGAGCTCTGACACCATGCTCACAGAACTGGGCTCAGAGCTGCATTTTTGGCAGAGGTGACACAGAGTAGGAAACAGTAGTACAGGTATTGTATGTACTTGGTTAAAAGCTGCTGCAACTGCCCTCTCCCATCATTACAACATCTTTAACAGAGAACACACTTTGTGGTTGAAATGCTCAGCCTCTCCACATAAGTCTGTGGACATGTAAGGATGAGTAAAGAAGAAAATCTTGTTTATGTGTGTCTTTGGCTTTTACTATGGGTGGAGAACCAGACAAATAAGGCAATACATACAAGAATCAAGTGGACTAGAAGTGGAGGACCTGGCCATGGTGGTCCTGAACCTGGGGATATGTTTGGAGTAACAGAATCATGGGGGGCAGCAGCTCCACTTCTTTTAACAGGAAGGGTAAAAGATACTGGTAGAAGCAGCAGCAGCAGCAGCACTGGACACAGCGTATCAGAGTCCTAGGTTTGGAGTCAGGTGTGCTTTCCAGAATCGTGGGAGGAGAGGCTGCTCACTGAAGGGAAGCAGCTTCAGTTTAGAATAATTTGAGGATAGAAATTTCAGTCAAAAGCAGCCAATGAAGAACACGAAGTGGCTCCATAAGTAGGTCTGTTTCCCCATCACTTTCAGTTTGCACTAGTCCTTCAGTCTTAGATATCCTACCTCCAACTGATCTTTGAGTAGCACAGTTCTTTAGCTAAAAGTGAAGGGCTCTCTGCACTCATGTTCTTCCCCTTTGAGAAAATAATTGTAATTTTAAGAGTCTGAAGGAGTTTAGTGGTCACCTAGTCTCTCCTCCCTTGATACCTCCACTGATAGTTTCTACTCAAGCATTGGGAAGCTTTTTTAGATGAATCTTATTTTCAAAAATTCCACCTTTTTAATGTATTTGAGTGTGGCCCTCAGAATTTCCTGAATTCTGTACAAAGAACACAAAAGTTTCTGGAGAATGGAACAAGACAAACTGAAGTTAAAGTCAATGTAATTTGCTTTTGGGAGCACAGAGACCTTCTGCAGGTGGCAGAGGTCCCACTGTCCACCCACCATCCTCAGCTGCATTGCTATTCTTCACAGCTTCTAGGAATTACATCTTTTTTGGTAGTTTATGGTAGTGGTGCCTAAATATAGTTGTAACTCCAAAGGTTTCAGAAGAGGAACTGGAATCCTGAGAATCTTGTGAAAATACTCTCTTATGCCTCATCCCAAATATACTGAATCATCTCTAGTGATAGGACCTGGAAATCTGTACTTTCTTAAAAGGATAATCCATCTGGAGTTAATTTTAGTGTAAGGTGTCAGGAAGGGGTCCAGTTTCTGCTTTCTGCACATGGCTAGCCAGTTTTCCCAACACCATTTATTAAACAGGGAATCCTTTCCCTGTTGCTTGTTTTTGACAGGTTGATCAAAGATTGTATGGTTGTAGATATGTTATGTTGCCTCCGATGCCTCTGTTCTGTTCCATTGGTCTATATCTCTGTTTTGGTGCCAGTACCATGCTGTTTTGATTACTGTAGCCTTGTAGTATAGTTTGAAATCCGGTAGTGTGATGCCTCCTGCTGTGTTCTTTTTGCTTAGAATTGACTTGGCTATGCGGGCTCTCTTTTGGTTCCATATGAAGTTCATGGTGGTTTTTTCCAGTTCTGTGAAGAAAGTCAATGGTATCTTGATGGGGATAGCGTTGATTCTGTAAATTACTTTGGGCAGTATAACCATTTTCACAATATTGTGAAACCATATCCTAACCAGGAACATGGAATGTTTCTCCATCTGTTTGTGTCCTCTCTTATTTCATTGAGCAGTGGTTTGTAGTTTTCCTTGAAGAGGTCCCTTACGTTCCTTGTGAGTTGTATTCCTAGGTATTTTACTCTTTTTGTAGCAATTGTGAATGGCAGTTTGTTCTTGATTTGGCTCTCTTTAAGTCTGTTATTGGTGTATAGAAATGCTTGTGATTTCTGCACATTGATTTTATATCCTGAGACTTTGCTAAAGTTGCTTATCAGTTTCAGGGGTTTTTGGGCTGAGGCGATGGGGTCTTCTAGGTATACTATCATGTCGTCTGCAAATAGAGACAATTTGGCTTCCTCCTTTCCTATTTGAATACCCTTTATTTCTTTTTCTTGCCTGATTGCTCTAGCTAGAACTTCCAGTACTATATTGAATAGGAGTGGTGAGAGAGGGCATTCTTGTCTAGTGTTGGATTTCAAAGGGAATGCTTCCAGTTTTTGCCCATTCAGTATATTGGCTGTTGGTTTGTCGTAAATAGCTTTTATTACTTTGAGACACATTCCATCAATACTGAGTTTATTGAGAGTTTTTAGCATAAAGGGCTGTTGAATTTTGTCAAAGGCCTTCTCTGCATCAATTGAGATAATCATGTGGTTTTTGTTTTTGGTTCTGTTTATGTGGTGAATTATGTTTATAGACTTGCGTATGTTGAACCAGCCTTGCATCCCCGGGATGAAGCCTACTTGATCATGATGGATAAGCTTTTTGATGTGGTGTTGCAATCGGCTTGCCAGTATTTTATTGAAGATTTTTGCATCTATGTTCATCATGGATATTGGCCTGAAGTTTTCTTTTCTTGTTGAGTCTCTGCCGGGTTTTGGTATCAGGATGATGTTGGTTTCATAAAATGATTTGGGAAGGATTCCCTCTTTTTGGATTATTTGGAATAATTTCAGAAGGAATGGTACCAGCTCCTCTTTGTGTGTCTGGTGGAATTCGGCTGTGAACCCATCTGGACCTGGGCCTTTTTTGTGTGGTAGGCTCTTAATTGCTGCCTCGGCTTCAGACCTTGTTATTGGTCTATTCATAGTTTTGGCTTCCTCCTGGTTTATGCTTGGGAGGACACAGGTGTCCAGGAATTTATCCATCTCTTCCAGATTTACTAGTTTATGTGCATAGAGTTGTTTGTGATCTCTGATGATGGTTTGAATTTCTGTGGAATAGATGGATTAAAGACTTAAACATAAGACCTGGCACCATAAAAACCCTAGAAGAAAATCTAGGCAAAACCATTCAGGACATAGGAGTAGGCAAGGACTTCATGACCAAAACACCAAAAGCATTGGCAACAAAAGCCAAAATAGACAAATGGGACCTAATCAAACTCCACAGCTTCTGTACGGCTAAAGAAACAGTCACTAGAGTGAATCGGCAACCAACAGAATGGGAAAAAATTTTTGCAGTCTATCCATCTGACAAAGGGCTGATACCCAGAATTTACAAATAACTCAAACAGATTTACAGGAAAAAAACAAACAAGCCCATTCAAAAATGGGCAAAGGATATGAACAGACACTTTACAAAAGAAGACATACATGAGGCCAATAAACATATGAGAAAATGCTCATCATCACTGGTCATTAGAGAGATGCAAATCAAAACCACGTTGAGATACTATCTCACGTCAATTAGAATGGCGATCATTAAAAAATCTGGAGACAACAGATGCTGGAGGTTGTGGAAAAATAGGAACACTTTTACACTGCTGGTGGGAGTGTAAATTAGTTCAACCATTGTGGAACACAGTGTGGCGATTCCTCAGACCTTAGAAATAGAAATTCCATTTGACCCAGCAATCCCATTACTGGGTATATATCCAAAGGACTATAAATCATTCTACTATAAGGACACATGCACACGAATGTTCATTGCAGCACTGTTTACAATAGCAAAGATCTGGAACCAACCCAAATGCCCATCGATGATAGACTGGACTGGGAAAACGTGGCACATATACACCATGGAATATTATGCAGCAATCAAAAATGATGAGTTCATGTCCTTTGTAGGGACATGGATGAATCTGGAGAATATCATTCTCAGCAAACTGACACAAGAACAGAAAATGAAATACCGCATATTCTCACTTATAGGCGGGTGACGAACAATGAGAACACATGGACACAGGGAAGGGAGTACTACACACTGGGGTCTATTGGGGGGAATAGGGAAGGGACAGTGAAGGGGGGATAGCATGGGGAGGCATAGCATGGGGAGAAATGCCAGATGTGGGTGAAGGGGAGGAAGGCAGCAAAACACACTGCCATGTGTGTACCTATGCAACTATCTTGCATGTTCTGCACATGTACCCCAAAACCTAAAATGCAATAAAAAAAATAAAAAAATAAAAATAAAGGTTCTTCAGGTAAGGTTTGCTGAGGTTTACTACAACTGTACCCTTCATCTGATGCTAATGGTGTATTTAGGGATGAAGGATACACACACTAGATATCTGAGTGCTTTTCAGATTCCATCCATGCTGAAAAAGAATCTGGATGAATACACACATTTCAATTAGCCCTCAACATCTTGCTTTACAGCTTTAGACCACTAAAGCCCAGTACAGTATAACAGAGAACACTACGCCAGAATTCAGATTTGGATTTTAATTTTTGTTCTGAAAAAATAGCAACTGACACTGGCATGCCATTTAGCCTTTCCAGGACTCAATTTCCACTATGGATAATACCTGATGTGTCAGTAAGACAACTGATGTAACTGTGCCAAACAAGTAGAATCATCCTTCCTTCTCTGTCCTGCTTTGTCCTAGCTTTCAACGTTTGATCTGCCCTAACATTTTCCTGTATATATTTCTCTATCCCAGATGCTACAGCAATTGCTAGCAAGGAAAGGTAATGAAAGACTTTCATTTCCCACTATAGTCTGGCCAACAAATTAAAGGTTTACCTCTCCTTGCTAATCCAATCTACATGGGACTGATGCAATCACTAAAAGTGCAAGCAGCACTCTGGTTGCCATGCAAGACGGTATAGCTACTGTTTATTCCTACTATGGAAGAGGATATAGATGAAAGTCAATAATAAGACACCTCATTTTAGCCAATAGTTTACATCTTTTCTCCTGTGTCCCTCTTATTCAAGCAACTGAATTATCTGTATACAATGTCTGGTTCCCATTTCAAACTATAGTCCAGATACCAAAAAAGGAGAATACCAGAAAAAGAGAGTACAAAGTGAACCCTTAGAGAGGCCCAGGCACTTGCTGAAAATTTAGGGGAAGGGGTTGATATTTCTAAGTTACTGACAATCACATAAGTGAAGACTATAATACAAAAAAACCCATGGGCAGGAAAGATGAACACAGTTCTTCTTTTAAAAGTTAAAGTTTTGGTTCTGGATCCAAGATGACTGAATAGAAACAGCTTTGGATTGCAGTTTCCAGTGAAAACACAGAGGGTGAGTGATCACTGCATTTTCAAAC